GCGCCTGGTCAATTGGACAGTCGGTTGACCATTGATTTTTTTTTTTTAGAATTGTGATTCAAGTTCAAGAACGACTTCGAAAAAAAAATCAATCTTACTTTTGGTTAAAACATTTTATGCAAGTGATAGTGAAAAATAACTTTTCGTGCACCAAATAATGTTTGAGCCATTGCCATTCATTACTAAGGATCAAAGTGTTATACTTTTACATATAATCTAGAAAGTATAATATTTCATCTTACTTTGAAGTTTCTTCCATGTTAGGCTCTTGAACTTTTGATTTTTATCTTTCTTGTCGTTAGTTTTCAATGCTTGACTTCGATTTGGACTTTTCTTGACATTTATCTTTTAAGCTCTCGTCTTGAATGATTTGATTTGAATTGCATAAACAACTTCTAATTTGATCTTCATTTCAAGTCCAATATATAATGTTTGATAGATTTTAACATTGAACTATCATCACTAAAAATAAATTATTAGAAATAATATTAATCTTGTTTGTTATGATTAAAATATTGAAAATGAAGTCAACTATATGTCAACAATTTTTCCCTTTTTGATTATGACAAACAAAATGATTTGCAAGGTAGAATTGAATAATTTATATCAAGTTGATAAAGAAATATAAATTTAGCTTGTAATTTATATTCTCCCTAGCTTTTACAAACCATATATTCAAAATATACATTCACTCTTTCCCATTTGTTCATGAACCCTAAGCATATTATATTTTCAATTCAAAGTTTATAAAATCATCTCATTATATTTCTCCCTTTTTGCATAGGCAAAAAGATATAACATTTAAGATCAAAACATGATCATAGGAAATATTTAGATATCACGTTATTTTCACTATCTTTTATACATGTATTCCCCCCATCTTTTTATAAGAGATGTAATGTTTTTCAAATTCTATATAAAAAAGTTAGCATATAGGAAGAGTACGTCATATAAGATCAAAATTTTAAGTCAACCATAGAAAATAGTAATACATTTTTCCTCGATAGATCACAAGATGCCAAATATATGCAAGTTTAAATAAGAGGATAATCATCATATTGTAGTAAAAATGTTAATCAAGGCATTAGTGATGAAATGATGAAAGCATAAACATTTGAGTAAAATTTATATATGTTCCAACCAATCATGAACATAGAATCAATCATACGATAACATTTGGTATAAATTCAATTTAGCCACATACTTTAAATTCATTGATAATTCCCAAATTTTAGTGCTTAAGAAAATTTGCAACCAAACAATTTTAAGTAAACAATTTTGAAAAACTCTATATGTCAAAAGTGCAGACTTATCAAAAAAATGTACCCGCAACATGGAATGCAGTGCTAAAAAAAATATATTATTGTAAACCATTTTCATAGTTTGAGCTATTTCTAACAATGCATAATTCTCCTTTTCTACTACACCGTTTTATTGAAGAGTTCTAGGAGCCAAGAAATAATGTTCATAGCCATCAATTTTGCAAAAATCATCAAAATCAAAATTATCAAATTCTCCATCATGATCACTTCAAACATGTAATAGTGTATCCCTTTTATTTTGAACCTTTCTTTAAAGATGTTTAATTGATTCATGCTTTAGGTTCAAAAATAGGACTCAAGAAATCTAGAATGGTCATCAATAACGATGAAGCGTAATGCCTACCATTTGAGCTTGTGATTCTAGATGGTTCAAAATAATTCATGTGAAGAAATTGAAAATGTTTTGTAGTCGAAGAATATTTCTTAAGTTAGAAGAAACTCTTCACTTGTTTTTCAAATTGACATGCCACAAATTTTCTCTTTCTCAAATTTCAAATATGGCATACCTTTAACAAAACTTTTTGAAAACATTTGAAAGTTGGTCTATGCAAACATGACTCTAATATTTTATGCCAAAGTCAAGTATCTTTTAAAATGTGATAAACATTTTTCTTCACTTTCAAATTCAATGACATAAACATCCTTATTTTGGCTTCCTATAAATATTCTCTTTTTGATGTAGCATTCTTAATAAGGAAGAATCAAATTTGTTATGATAACATTTATCACACAATTAACTAAAAACCAAATAGATATGTTTAATTTTATCTATTAAGAAAACAATTTTCAATAAAAGGAGATGAGTGATCTCCAATAATTTCAATGATTTTTCTTTTGACATTATTTTCAAAAGCATCAAGACCACCATCCTTCTTTTTGAAGCTTGAAAATAAAATTGAATAATTGATATCAAAACGTAATAGATCACATTCAATATGAAATACATAAAATCAGATTTCATGCTCAACTGAATGTTCTCTTAACATATCTAGACATCTGCATAAGGAAGTCCTAACTTTCTGTCAATCCAAATGATGGACCCAGACGTCTGTTTCCCTATTTTAATAAAATTTTGAAATTTATTATTACTGAGGCATAAAGCAATATTTTTATTTCAATTTCATCTAAAGTTTTCGAACCTCTTCAAATATGTGAAATTCTATCAAAAGTTAGAGGCTTAGTAAAACTATTAGCCAATTAATTTTTCATATAGCTAGTAAATCAAGGTGGGTGCCTCTGGATGCCAAAAATCTAATGTCTTAATGCTATTAAGATATCTAAAAATCCATTTTTGGGTACAAAAGTGCTATTTTTTATGATTAAATTTAAACATATCACAAAGGCACATACTTAAACATAAATATCGGGTCATCCAGCAGTTAAAGAGAAAGGATTCGATCATCATCGATATTTTGTTATATTTACAAATATACCTTGATCATCGAATTTGATTGATAACTTTTTTGGAGTGTTTATTAACTCCAATTATTTTATTTTGAACTCCATTCTTTCCTTTTAAGAATAGAGCTTGGATCTCGGTTATGTGCTCAAACCTCCACGAACTTAAGACGGTTTGGTCTTTATTTTCTTTGGTACCTACAAAATAATTTACATTATGTTCTTTGGTACCCATACAACTTTGGATCCTTGATTGTCACTGTTTGTAAACTTTAGAATCTACTTGTGTTTCTCTCAAAGTGAAACCTCTTTTTCATTAAACAATTAAAAGATACATGGCTATTTTTGTTGCAAAAATTACATGTCACGTTTGAAATAGGAAAAGGAGAAGTTTTAACAAAGAAGTTTTCAAGACTTATGTTTTAAAAATGGTTTATATCCAACTCCTCCTTTATCAAAATCACATTTTTGTTCACAAAGCATTAAATTAAAATTTTTCTTGACTTGAGTAAATTTGTGAACTTTTTCTTCACTTTAGTAAATTTGTGAACAATTTGAGTCAAATTTAAAAAATTTCTTTTAAAGAAGAATTCTCCTTAATTAAAGAATCATAATTGAACTTTTCTTTTTGAAAATCATTTTGAGTTTTCAATTTTTTTTTTTTACTTCTTTTTCCAATAAAGAACTTTTCTTTTTGTAGTAGAGTGTTTGAGAGCAAGTTTTTCAAATTCTCAAGAAGTTCATCATATGAGGTA